AGTCCAGCAGGTCGAGGGTATGGTGGCCGTGAGCGTGCCACTGCACTCATGCCTGGGTGACAGAGTGAGACTCCAACTCAAAGAAAAAGAAAAAAAGAAAAGAAACAAAATCTTACTAAATAAGCCGAGTATAGTGGTACACACCTGTAGTCCCAGCTACTTGGGAGACTGAAGGTGGAAGATTGCTTGAGCCTCAGAGATCGAGACCAGCTAAGACCCCATCTCAAAAAAAAAAAAAAAAATACTAAACAAATTTAGTTACAAATTGTTATAAGTTAAGAAATGAATAGAGGATTAAAAAAGAAGAAATGCAGATGGCTGTAAGGGGGTGGTAAAATACCAAAAGAGGAGGTCATGTCAGATAGAGACATAAAGGAAAAAAAGACAAAATATAAAAGAAAAGTGGGAGTCGGGCTTGGTGGCTCAGCCTGTAATCCCACGCCTTTGGGAGGCTGAGGTGAGTGGATTGCCTGAGCCCGCGGGTTCGAGACCCGCCTGGGCAACTTGGCGAGACCTCATCTCTACAATAAATCAAGAAATAAGCCAGGCGTGGTAGTGCACGCCTGTAGTTCCAGCTACTTGGAAGGCTAAGGCGGAAGGATCACCGGAGCCCAGCAGGTCGAGGCTGCGGTGGCTGGGAGTGGCCACAACACTCCAGTCTGGGCAACAGAGTGACTCCAACTCAAAAAAAAAACAAAAAACAAACAAAAAAAAAGAGAAGTGGGAGAGAAGAAGAATAAAATGATAGGTTCTCTGGGGAAAGCAAAAAGTTTATATTTGGATTAAAAGATCTAGTCCTGGCTGTATCAATACTAAATGGGTACTACGTCACTAGGTAGTTACTTCATTCTGGGCTTTATGGGTGCACTTAACCTGTAAAATATCTTTAGGGCCGCCTCTAGCTAAAACATTGTCTAAATTGTTCATCATGCCCTAGGAATCTACTCTACATAAATAATAGCTTGAATAAATAAAGATATATGTACACGAATGATAAATGTAGCACTGTACAGCAAACAAACACAAAAAGCAACTGTCAAGAATGTAATCAGAAAGGAGAGGTAAACCATACAGCCAGGTAACAGGATACTAAGCAACCATTCAAAACAGGAAAGCATATCAATATGTTCTAACTGGGAAAGATGTCCAATTGTTAACTGAAAATGTAACATGAATAAGATCACTAATTTCTCTGTATGCTTATAACCTTGTTTCTCAGTCTTCTCCAGCTGCTACTCTAATCCAGACGGTCTTTCAAACTGTTCCTGAGCATACTGTACTTGGGCCAACACCCGTAACTTGGCTCAGGGTCTTTTCCCTGATACCTAGAAAGAGCTCATTTCGCTTATCCATTCCTAAATTATCTTTAAGACCCAATCTAACTTCTACTATTTTCTTTTCCTTTTTTTTTTTTTCACTTTGTCACCCAGGCTGGAGTTCAGTGGCACACTCATGGCCCCCCCAGTGTTGACCTGCTGGGCTCTGGTGATTCTCCCACCTCAGCCTTCCAAGTAGCTGGAACTACAGGTGTGTGCTACCATGCCTGGCTAATTTTTTATTTATTGTAGAGACGAGGTCTTGCCTAGTTGCCCAGGCTGGTCTTGAACCCACAGGCTCAGGCAATCCACTCGCCTTGGCCTCCCAAAGTGCTGGGATTATAGGCTGAGCCACTGAGCCCAGCCTACTACTTTCTTAAAATGGTCTTTACAGAAAAGAGGAAAACAACTCTTATTGATTTGAGTGCCTAATATGTGCCAGACACTTGTGATTTCTAAGTGATACTATTATATATATTTATCTTAAGGTCATTTAACATTTGAACAGAAAAAATGGGATCAGGCTGATCACATGAGTTAGATAACAGTATTATCTTAGATAATTGGCTAAAAATAATCTAAGACTCATTGACTAAAAATGGTTCTGACTTTTTATACTGTTGTGCCTTCTACAGGAAAATCTGAATTTACCAAAATATGAATAGATATTCACATTTTAAACTGTCACCAGGTATATAACTTAAGAAGCAATCCTCATTGGGGATGTGTGTGTTTTAGAAATTATCTACTTGACACCAAAAAAAAGAAAACTAGAAAGTATTACCAAATGAATATTACTGAAATCAAAATTACTTCAAAAATGAAGACAATAGGGCTAAACTAAAATACAACTCTTTAAAATCATGTTGATAACCAAATTCAAACATCCTTAAAATCTTTAAATTATTCTTAAATTGCTTTAAACATTTATTAAAATTGCTTAATAGCTTTTAAAAAGTTTTTTAAACATTGCTTTTTACAAACAATGCAAAATTATTCTAAAGTTGATGAGTCAAAAATTCAATATCCACATATATACAAAATGAGTATCTCTAACCTTCTCTAGTAATATTCTTCATACAAAGAAGATACTAATACTTACCCCACTAGTATCTGCCTTTGTTTTGTTTTGCAGTTTTACTGTGATGTGTCTATGAATGAGTTTCTTTTTACTTATCTTTGGATTCACTGGGATTCTTCAATCTGTGAATTAGTGTCCTTTGTTAAGGGCAGGAAAATTAGTTACATTGTCTCTTCAAATAATGCCTGTGCTCTATTTTCTCTCTCCTACTTCTTCTTCTTGAATTCCATTTAAAAATATATTATTCCTCATCCTGGCATCCTCCATATATCTTAACCTGCTGCCAATTTTCCACCTTTTTTCTGTGGTGTATTTTAAATAATTACCACTAATCTACTCCAGTTTCACTAATTCTTTTTTCAGTCCTGCACAATCTACTATTAAACCTATCCTTTGAATTTTAAATTTTATGTATTTCCTTTTTCTTTTCCTTTTTTTTTTTGAGTTGGAGTCTCACTGTCGCCCAGACTTGGAGTGCAGTGGCCGCTCCCAGCCACTGCAGCCTTGACCTGCTGGGCTCCGGCGATCCTTCCCAAGTAGCCGGAACTACAGGCGCGCGCTACCACACCCGGCTCATTTTTTAAAATTTATTGTAGAGATGAGATCTCGCCAAGTTTCCCAGGCGGGTCTCGAACCCGCAGACTCAGGCAATCCATTCACCTCAGCCTCCCAAAGGCGTGGAATTACAGGCTGAGCCACCGAGTCTGGCTTCATTTTTCTTTTCCATAAATTCTATTTGAGTTTTGCTTATGCCTATGAAGTCCCTTTTTGCAGTTTCCTATTGCCTAAGAGATCTTCAAGCTGTCTTTTATTTCTTTAAATATAGTAAACATGGTTATTTGTGTCCAATAAACCCAGTTTCTGTGGTCTTCAGAGATCATTTTTTACTTCTTTCTTTTGGTTCTCAATTATGACGCCTTGTTACCTTTGACTGCATGTCCTTGAAAATTTACTTGAAGGGATTCTCGAGGCCTAAGAAGAAAGTTCTTTCCTCCAAAAGAAAATTTTTCTAGGTTACTACCATTCTAGAATCAATTTAGACTCAATTCATGGTTTGCAGTTTCTTGGATTACCCAGGTAATAAGGGTGTCAGCAGCAATTTCACAAGAGAGCTAGCCTGTGGTTTATGAACTCTCAGTGAAAGGTTTTTCTGGTGGCGGTGGTTTTTTTCTTTCTCTTTTTTTTCTCCCCTGTTCTACTCAGAGCCAGGCAACTCTCCCTATAATCTCACTTGAAGTGGGCAGTTTTGCTTCAGGTTCATCCTTACCCAAAGAGTTTACCCCTATGGAGTCTCGGTTTAATGTGGGCAATGAGTATTAAACTTCTGATCTTGAGAAGCCCTGAGCTTTGACCACTTTCCCCTTCATTTCAGGGGACAATCAAAATTGCAGCTCACAGCTGCCTGATTAGAAAAGGTCTTCAAGACAAAAGTAGCACAAGTGCTGCTGTTAATTCTCTGGCAGTCACCTGCAGTTCCTCACTCTTGCTAGTTCTTCAATGCCTTTAGAATCTTCAAATATTTTATCCAAATATTTTAGTTGTAATCAGTGGGAGTACTGGCTAAAATAACTTGGCTTGCCATTACCAGTATTAGAAGTCCCACACTTTATTAACTCTCTTTAATTTGTTGAACGGAATTCATTTGTTGAACGAATGAATAAATAAATGATTTTCTTTTTTTTTTTTTAATTGGAGTCTCACTCCATCACCCAGACTGGAGTGCAGTGGCTGCTCCCAGCCACCGCAGCCTCGACCTGCTGGGCTCCAGCAATCCTTCCACTTCAGCCTTCCAAGTAGCTGGAACTACAGGCGTGCACTACCACGCCCGGCTTATTTTTGATTTATTGTAGAGATGAGGTCTCTCCAAGTTGCCCAGGAGGGTCTCGAACCTGCGAGCTCAGGCAATCCACTCACCACGGCCTCCCAAAGCACGGAATTACAGGCTGAGCCACCGAGCCCGGCCAATAAATGATTTTCTAGTTAAATAGATAAGCCAACCTCAAATTCAATCTTTTAACCTCTTTGAACAACAGATTCACCTCCATTGGTAAAATAAAGAGTTTGAACTACATATCTCTAAGATTCTTTTTTTTTTTTTGAGTTGGCATCTCACTTGGTCACCCAGGCTGGAGTGCCATGGCATGCTCACGGCCACCCCAGCATCGACCTGCTGGGTTCTGGTGATCCCTCCTCTTCAGCCTTCCAAGTAGCCAGAACTACAGATGCGTGCTACCACACCCGGCTAATTTTTGATTTATTGTAGAGACGAAGTCTCGCCAAGTTGCCCGGGCTAGTCTCGAACCCATGGACTCAAGCAATTCATTCGCTTCAGCCTCCGAGAATGCTGGGATTATAGGCTGAGCCACCGAGCCTGGCCTACCTCTAAGATTCTTTACTATTCTAAAATACCAAGATCTATGCATATATATATAATGTCAAAAAATACAAAAACCTTTCAGCTTTTGGGTTATACCAGCTCATTTAATACCATGCTAAATTATATTTTATTTTGCTTACTAACACGCTCTATTTATGACAGTCAGATGGACAAAGATTTCTCATAGTGTCATAACAACTCCAAAATAACAGTAAATGAGACTCACTTTTACTGGAAGGGATCCCTTCTCCATCTTCTCAAACCCAAGAGCCAAGACACAGTCTGCCACACCTTTAAGGAAATTGTAATTATTTTACAAATTCAAATTTCCAGACACCCAACAAAATGAGATTGAATACTTCCATTTAAATAAGTATGTCGCCAGACTCAGTGGCTCAGCCTGTAATCCCGTGCCTTTGGGAGGCTGAAATGAGTGAATTGCCTGAGCCCACGGGTTGGAGACCCGCCTGGGCAACTTGGCGAGACCTCATCTCTACAATAAATCAAAAAAATCGGCCGGGCGTGGTAGCGCATGTCGCCGGAGCCCAGCAGGTGGAGGCTGCAGTGGCCGGGAGCGGCCACTGCACTCCAGTCTGGGCGACAGAGTGAGACTCCAACTCAAAAAAATAAAATAAAATAAATAAATAAATAAATAAATAAGTATGTCAATTTACATAAAATGCAAAACATAATTCTACAAAAATTTTAATAACAAAAATTATAGAGAAAATTCTTATATGCTTCTAAATAAAAATCTGAAAGAAAAATCAAGATGGTGCTTAATTCTCCCCTTGAGTCTCTCAATATGTTAATATAATTTTTTATTACTGTGGAAATATGCGTCAGTAAAAAACAAATATAAAAAGCGAATTCAGACCCGGCGCAGTGGCTGACACCTATAATCCCAACAAATTTGCGAAGCCAAGGAGGGAGAATCATTTGAGCCCACAAGTTCAAGACCAGCCTGGGTAACTGGTGAAAACACGTGCGACTCTACAAAAAATACAAACATTACATAGTCGGGTTTGGTAACATGTGTCAGAAGTCCCAGCTACTCTGAAGACTGAGGTAGAAGGCCTGAGCCCGGGAGGTCAAGACTGTGGTGAGCTTAAATCACACAACTACTCCAGCCTGGGTGACAGAGTGAGATCCCATCTCAAAAAAAAAATAAACAGGGCTGGGTTTGGTGGCTCAGCCTGTAAAACTCTGGGAGGCCGAGGTGAGTGGATTGCCTAAGCCCACAGGTTCAAGACCAGCACGGGCAAATTGGCAAGACCTCATCTCTGCAATAAATAAAAAAAATTAGCTGAGCATGGTAGCATGCACCTGCAGTTCCGGCTACTTGGAAGGCTAAGGAGAAAGGATCACCAGAGCCCAGAAGGTGGACGTTGGGGTGGCCGTGAGTGTGCCACAGCACTCCAGTCTGGGTGACAGAGTGAGACTCCAACTCAAAAAAACAAAAACAAAAACATTCAGAATTTTTTAAAATATTAAAATTTAAATTAAAAATTAAAGATAATTCCAATCAAAATCAAAAGAATTCTTTTTGCAAGCAGGGGGCACCTAAAAATGATGTTAAAGTTCAATTGAAGAGTAAAACAACAGAATTGCCAAAATCTTTCCAAAAACAGAAATGGGGCACTAGCATTATCAAACAATAAGATATTATAAAGCTCCAATAATTAAAACACTAAGTAGTAGAGCAGTAATAAACAACCAAATCCATGGAACAGAATAGAGGGCCTAATACAAGCTCCTAGAATATATGAAAATAAAGGATATTTTAAAAAGAAAATAAATAGAGGATATGCTATATATCCAAAAGAACTGAAAATATATGGCCACAAAAAAATTTGTATACAAATATTTACAGCAGCAATATACATACACACAAACATTATGCTAAGTGGAAGAAACCACAAAAGGTCATGCATTGTATGATTCCACTTATATAAATATTAAGAATAGAAACATCCACAAAGAGAGAAAGTAGATTAATGGTTGCCAGAAACTGAAGGGAGGAGAAAATGGAGAATAACTGCTAATGGGTACAGGGTTTATTTCTGTGGTGATAAAAATGTTCTAAAATTAGATAGCAGTGATGGGTGTACAACTCTATGACCATACTAACCAACACTGAAATGTATACTTTTTTTATTTATTTATTTTTTGAGTTGGAGTCTCATTCTGTCGCCCAGACTGGAGTGCAGTGGCCACTCCCGGCCACCGCAGCCTCGACCTGCTGGACTCCGGTGATCCTTCCGCCTCAGCCTTCCAAGTAGCTGGAACTACAGGCGCACACTACCATGCCCAGCTGATTTTTTGATTTATTGTAGAGATGAGGTCTCGCCAAGTTGCCCAGGCGGGTCTCGAACCTGCGAGCTCAGGCAATCCACTCACCTCGGCCTCCCAAAGTGCTGGGATTACAGGCTGAGCCACCGAGCCCGGCGAAATGTATACTTTAAAGAGGTGAATTTTATGGTATGGGAATTATATCTCAAAAAAAGCTTTTTTTAAAAAAAGAAATATATTATAAAGCAATTATAAGATTTTTGATGGCCCCGTGACCAAATGATTAAACGAGGGCAACAATCGCACATCTTTGTAAGTACACTCGACAAGCACTCCTCACCACCCTGAATCAGCTGCTGGGCCATAAACAAAGCAGTGGAACCAGTAGCACAGTTGTTGTTGACATTGATTATAGGAATTCCAGTCAGTCCCAAACTGTGATAGATAGCCCTCTGTCCGCTGGTAGAGTCACCTGAAAAGAAAAACACATAAAAATGTTAATACCTCCAACACAGAATCATGGAGGGGCAATGCAACATAATGTCACACTATGATTTTTTTCAGTATTACATGTCTTTGCCTAGCATACAACATGTACAGGAGAGTTAAATAAGCTAATGACCTCTTATTCAGAAACAGTTTTAGCATTAACCAACATTTACATTGCAAATATAAAAGTTTCTCAAAACAGACTATATGTGCACCTTCTTTATATGATACAGAGGTAGAAAATAAAGAAATTACCATGTAATTGCAAACAATTCAATCTGGCTAGAGTTATGTGATAAAGGAAGCAATATTTCATTAACACATAACTGTCATATATAAATCTTTAAAGCTATACCAATTGGATAAAGGCCATGACTTATTTTTCATATAAAGATCCTACAAGCCGGGCTCAGTGGCTCAGCCTGTAATCCTGCGCCTTTGGGAGGCCGAGGTGAGTGGACTGCCTGAGCCCGCGGGTTCGAGACCAGCCTGGGCAACTTGGCGAGACTTCATCTCTACAATAAATCAAAAATTAGCCGGGCATGGTAGCGCATGCCTGTAGTTCCAGCTACTTGGAAGGCTGAGGCGGAAAGATTGCCGGAGCCCAGCAGGTCAAGGCTGCGGTGACTGGGAGCGGCCACTGCACTCCAGTCTGGGGGACAGAGTGAGACTCCAAGTCAAAAAAAAAAAAAGATCCTACAACTTCAAAAAGTTTAAAAGATCCTGTGTGCGGGGGCATTCCAGAAAAATGTGATTCATGATAAATACACATGACTTCCTCTCCCAAATAACACAGCCACCAAGGCAGACACGCTAGCACAGTATGATGGGAATATCTGAAGGTAAGGACTACTCTCTAGAAGTCTTCAGCAAAATCAGCAAAGTTCAGAAGTTTCTTTTCAATAAACACATTCTGCATCCCTTTTACCCAGTAAGTTCCCCTTAAAGAATTCTCTTGATACCTTGAAATCTTAAGGAAATAAATTGTAGATATGCACAAAGAATCATTTACAGTAATACTTACTATAGTATTTTTTATACTAGTATATAATATGTGTGGTATTTTTATAATAACTAGAAATTATAAATAATTTAAAGTGTTCAAGAACAGGATATCATTACTACTTCTAAATAAACTGTAGTGAATCCCTAAGAGTAGAATACCATGTAATCAGGCTGGGCACAGTGGCTCATGCCTGTAATCCCAGCACTTTGGGAGGCTGAGGTGAGAAGATTGCTTGAGCCTGGCAGTTTGAGACCAGCCTATGCAACATAGCAAGGTCTCGTCTCTACAAAAAATTTTTTTAAATTAGCCAGACACAGGGTAACCCCTTCATGCCCCCTCTAGTGAGAGCTTTTCTGTCCTCTCAATAAATCCTGCTTTCTAAAAAATAAAATTAAATAAATAAATAAATTAGCCAGACATAGTGGTGCGAGCCTGTAGTCCCAGCTACTTGAGAGGCTAAAGTAGAAAGACTGTCTGAGCCCAGGAGGCTGAGGTTGCAGTGAGCCACAATCATGCCACTGCACTCTAGCCTGGGGACAGAATGAGACCTTGACTCAACAACAAAAAAAAGACTATCATATAATCATTACAAATGCTGGAGGGGTTCCCACACACACCCCACCACTTTGAAAAAAAAAAAATGCTGGATGGAAGAGGTAGGGAAAATAGAGAGATGTTAGTAAAAGGGTACAAACTTTCAGTTGTAAGATGAACAAATTCTAGTGATCTAATGTACAGCATAGGCAGTAATGGGTGTGCTAATTAATTTGATTGTGAGAATCATTACACAATGTATTCATAAGTCATCATATTGTACATCTTACATATATCCAATAGTTATTTGACAAATATTTTTAAATGCAATGAAAAAACTGGGAACATCTTAAATATTCATTAAAAGGGAATGAATTAAATAAATTATAAATATTTATTCAATGGAATATTACAGTATCATAAAAAAAAAGACTAATAAGGCTCTTTATGTTATAATTTGGATTAGTCTCCAAAACTAAGTAAAAAAAATACCAAGATACAAAATAGTATTTATGCTATGCTACTGTGTAACAAAAGCAAGGCAAAAAGGAAAATTAGATACCACACACACTTGCTTGTATGTACATAAATTACCTCCAGAAAGATACACTAGAAATTGGGAAAATCAGCTGCCTCAGGGAAAGGAACCACAAGACAGACAGGAATAAGAGCAAGATTTTTCCCCCACACTAATCACTATATTACATATAAGATTGTAACCACTATCTACTCTTTTGTATTTTTGAACCACGTAAGTATTTAAACTAGTCCAAAAAAAAACGGTTAACTGAAAAATGTAATGAGTATATAAAAGAAGATTTGAGCCGACTGCAGTGGCTCACGCCTACAATCCCAGCACTTTTGGAAGCAGAGGCAAGAGGATTATGTGAGCTCAGGAGTTCGAGACCAGCCTAAGCAACATGGCAAGATCTCACCTCAATAAATCAAAAACTCAGCAGGGCATGGTGGCACATGCCTGAGGTTCCAGCTACTTGGAAGGCTAAGACAGAAGGTTGAGGCTGCAGTAGCCGTGAGCGTACCACTGCACTCCAGCCTGGGCAAGAGAGACTCCGACTCAAAAAAAAAGATTTAATGACATGGGAAATGTTTCAGATAGTAAAATGAGAAAAAAAGATTACAAAAAAGTATGTATACTAGGATCTTACTTTCCTTAAGAGAAAATCATGTGTGCATGCATATTCACATGCAAATGTACTCTCTGCAGGGTATACTCCAAAAAAAAAATCAATGAAAATAATCTCTGAATAAAGAGATTAGAAGTGATTTGTTTCTTCTTGTGCTTTTCTGTGGTTCCTTTGTTTTACAATTAGCATGTTAGTTTTCTAATCAGAAAAAATATTTAATGAAAAAGTTTTATTAGATACAAAAAAGTAAATAAATACAAATTTTAAGACAATAAAGAACAAAAATTTATCTTATTTTTAAATTTTAAATTATTCTTACACAGTAGTATCATGGGTAAATCCTTTTTTTAAAAAAGATAAGAAATGTTGGCCAGATGCAGTGGCTCAAGCACTTTGAGAGGCCAGCACTTTGAGAGGCCAGCACTTTGGGAGGCCACCACTTTGGGAGGCCAAGGTGAGGGGACTGCCTGAGTCCAAGGGTTTGAAAACAGCCTGGGCAACCTGACAAGACCTCATCTCTACAATAAATTTAAAAAATTAACCGGGTGTGGCAGTGCGAGCCTATAGTCCAGCTACTTGAAAGGCTAAGGTGGAAGGATCACCTGAGCCCAGCAGGTTGATGTTAGGGTGGCTGTGAGCATGCCACTGCACTCCACCCTGGGCAACAGAGTGAGAATCCAACTCAAAAAAAAAAATGTCCTGCTTTGGCAACATAATAATAACAACAACAAAATTATACTAGAGTGACACACAAGGGAAATATGAAACATGGGAATTAAGACTGAATTTAGAGGAGTTTTTTTTTTCCTTTTTTTCTTCAATACAATTGCAGTTGAATGAATCTGAATTTTGAGGCTTAAAAGTCACAGATGCGGCTCGGTACGGTGGCTCATGCCTATAATCCCAGCACTTTGGGAGGCCGAGGTAAGAGGACTACCTGAGCCCATGGGTTGGAGACCAGCACAGGCAACTTGGGGAGACCGTCTCTACAATAAATCAAAAAATTAGCTGGGCATGTTGGCACATGCTGGTACTTCCAGCTACTTGGAAGGCTGAGGTAGGAGGATCACCTGAGCCCAGCAGGTCGAGGCTGCAGTGGTTGTGAGCGTGCCGCTGCACTCCACCCTGGGTAACAGAGTGAGACTCTGACTCAAAAAAATAAAATAAAATAAATAAAAGTCACAGATGCCTCTGGATTGTTTAGGAGTTGCTGCTAGTCTTAGGCGAATAATTTTTAGAACATATAGTTTGCCACATACCATAAACATAACCAACACATGCCTGTTTCACTGCTGAATAAGGAATGTGCGCATCATCTAAAGCCTTCTGACCTATAAAAACAAAAGAGTTTATCAAAAAGTGCTTTAAGTATTTGCTGTGAGTAAAAATTTAGAGTTTTTACAAAGTAAATCTACCACTATACAGTCTATGCTCAATTCAAATGACAAATCCTTCATTAAATCATATCAGATCTTTCCTTTCAGAAGTAATCATTTTTCCTCTAAAGCTACTGCCCCACTTTTCAGATCTTCTTTTTGGTACTTAACATTTTCTGTCACAGCTGCACACTTAATTCTGAAATATTAAATTCTAAGTCTTAAATTTCTTTAATGGGAAGGTCTTGTCTTGTTCATCCCTGTGGCTCCACTGCACATCTAGATGGCAAAATGAGATAGAGTATCATTACTGGGGCAAACAGACTAATGTGCTCATCTTACAAAGCGAAGATTAAAAAATGACTCTGAGCCGGGCTCAGTGGCTCAGCCTGTAATCCAGCGCTTTGGGAGGCTGAGGTGAGGGGATTGCCTGAGCCTGTGGGTTCGAGACCCACCTGGGCAACTTGACGAGACCTCATCTCTACAATAAATCAAAAAAATCAGCCGGGCGTGGTAGTGCACGCCTATAATTCCGGCTACTTGGAAGGCTGAGGTGGAAGGATCACCGGAGCCCAGCAGGTCGAGGCTGCAGTGGCCGGGAGTGGCCACTGCACTCTAGTCTGGGTGACGGAATGAGACTCCAACTCAAAATTAAAAAAAGAAAAAGAAAAAAGAAATGACTCTGTCTATGGAACAAAAAACGGAGTCTTAAGGATCCTCTCCAAAGCTGCAGAAATGACCAGGGGAGGAACTGAGAAAAATTATGTAAGTAAAATGAAAAGAAGAGAAGAGTGAGGCTGCAGAAAAAGTGTGAGCTAAATTCTCATCTACCACAGTGAGACACAAACAGGCATCTAAAATTAATAAATCAAAAACTTAAATAAGCATGGTAGAATAAGCATTTAGATAACCACCAGAACTAAAGCAAAAAGAGCTAAGAGAAGTTGTTGCAGGCCGGGCGCAGTGGCGCAAGCCTGTAATCACAGCACTTTGGGAGGCTGAGGCGAGAGGACTGCCTGAGCCCAGGGGTTCAAGACCAGCCTGGGCAACTTGGCGAGATCTCGTCTCTGTAATAAATCAAAAAATCAGCTGGGTATGATAGCACACGCCTGTAGTTCCAGCTACTTGGAAGGCTGAGGTGGAAAGATCATTGTACTCCAGCCTGGGCAACAGAGTGAAACTCTAACTCAAAAAAAATAAATAAAAAGGAAAAAGAATTCTCTATGTTGGCTCAATGAAATGAAGGGAGGAAAACCATCATATATTTAATACGTTTGAATGTGATTATTCCTTTTACAGTAAAGACAGATACAAATTTTGCAATAACTTCTGAGGTGAACACAGACTAGGATGACCTCACCTTTCTCTCCTACAGACCACTTAACCATCCGACAAATAGTTGGACAGCACACACAACTGTAAGCCACTGTCTGTTCTGGCTATGTAGCCACTAAGATGCCCATGCAACTTTTTCTTTCTCTTTTTTAGTGAGTCACACTAGGCAATTCTCCATGCAGGTTCTCTCTCAACTAGGCTTCCTTTTGTGCTTGCAAGGTTGCTCCACCCATGGAATCAAGACAGACCACTCAAAAAAGTGTGAATGTTTGAAGACCTAACTGTTCTATATTACCTGCTTCTTTTACCATGTCAGGGTAATCTCTTGAATTCTCAGTTCCAGGCTTCACAAACTAGAAATACAGGAGATAAGAAAGAGAAACAAGTATAGTTATATTTTCTTCACAACAATTTTTCATTCATCTACTCAAACAAAAAACATATTGAGCACCTATCATGTTCCTGGACTCTAATAATAAATAACACACAATTCTTACCCTCAGGGAGCTTCCAGTCTGATGTAAAACAGGCACTTACACTACAGTGTCATAATCACAAAATGATTTGGGAGGGCACCTACCCAGCCTTTGGAGGGAGGACAAGAAAGGATTCCAGAGGAACTGCCACTTAAATTGAGTTCTTAAGGATGAGCAGAAATTAGCCAAGGAAAGAGAAAAAAGAAATTCTGTAGCAAAGGTCTAGAGGAGACAGAATATGGCACAATTGTCTCTGTGGAAGAACTGCAAACATTTGGTATGACATAGGTTAAAAGCACAAAGTAGAAAGTGATAAAGACTAAAAGTAACTTAGGAACAAATTATGACAACAACTAATATTTATTGGGTACTTACTATGTTATGCATTGTGCTAAGCATTTCATGTGTATTAACTCATTTGATCCTCACAACCAACCTGTGATAGGTACTATTAACGTTTTCCATTTTTATTTTAGATTCAGGGGGTACACATGCATGTCCATTACATGGACAATACCGTGGTGGGAACTGGGTCTCAGTGGCCCATTCCCCCCAGATAATGAATACTGTACCCAATAAGTGATTTCCGAGCCCCAATCCCCCTCCCTGACTCTTCCAGTATTGGTGTCCCCAGTGTCATTATTTCCATGTTTACAGTCATTTAGCTCCTTCATATGATGAGAACACACAGTGTTTGGTTTTCTGTTTCTGAGTCAGTTCACTTAGGATGATGATCTCCAGTCCCATCCATGTTGCTGCAAAGGACATGATTTCATTCTTTTTATGGCTATATAATAGTCCATGGTGTGAGATAGGTACCATTATTATCAGCATTTTACAGATAAGAAAAATAGGGCACAGAGAGGCTGAGCAACTTGCCCAAGAGCACAGCGCCAATAAGTAGTGGAGCTTAAACTTCACAGTCTGGCTCTAGAGCCAACTCACAAGGGAACCTATATGACCTACAATGCTGTCTTGGTTTTATCCTGAAGACAATGTATTTTTTAAATGAGACTGGAATAAAACAACAATGAGAAACTACTATCAAAACTTCAAAGAAGAACAATGAGAAACCACTGTCAAAACTTCAAAACTTCCAAAACTACGAAACTTTCAAAAAAGAACAATGAGAAGCCACTATCAAAACTTCAAAACAACGAGGAACCACTGTCAAAACTTCAAAACACTGACAACACCAAATGCTGACAAGAATATAGAGCAACTGGAACTCTCATTCATTGTTGGTAGAAATGAAAAACAGTATAGCCACTCTGCGTGGCAGTTTGTCTATTCTAAAACTCAACACTCTTACCATGTGAATCAGCAATAGCACTCCTTGGTGTTTACCCAAAGGACCTGAAAACGGATGTCCACACAAAAAGCTGCACACAGATGTTTGTAGTAGCTTTAATTGTCAAAACTTGGAAGCAACCAAGGTGTCCTTCAGTAGGTGAGTAGATAAACTGTGGTACATCCAAACAAAATAATATTCAGAGTTAAAAAGAAATGAACTATCAAGCCATGAAAAGACACGAAGGAACCTTAAATATATATTAAGTGAAAGAGACCAATCTGAAAAGAACACAAACTGCATGATTCCAAGTAGATGGCACTCTAAAAAAGGTAAAATTTACAGAGACAGTAAAAAGAACAGTGGTTGCCAGGAGTTAGGGGAGGGAAGGACAAACAGGTGAAACACAGAGGACTTTTAGGGCAGTGAAACTATTCTGTATGTACCATACTAGTGAATACATGTCATTATACATTCGTTAAAAACATAGACTGTACTCCAAGAGCGCCTTAATATAAACTACAGACTTTAGGTGATAATGATGTGTCAGTGTAGGTTCACAGATAAATGTACCACTTTGCTATGCCATTGTTGATAGTGGAAAAGGCTGGATACTGTGGGGTAGGGGAAATATATGGGAAATCTCTGTACCTGGCACTCAACTTTGCTGTTAACCTAAAAACTGCTCTAAAAAATAAAGTCTATCTTTTTTTAAAAGAGAGAAATTGGAATGAGAAGACTCATATTTTAGATCCCTCTAGATGCAACGTGGAGAAATGAATGTAAGGAACAAGACCAGGGACAGAGACACCAACTGGCATGATTCTAAAAGTGAGAGCTGACTAAGATAGGAACAAAAAGGATGGAAAGAAATAGATAGACAAAACAAAGAAAAAGGAAGCAAAATCTACTGAACTTGGTGACCAAATAGATAGGTGGAGTGGTTTACTGATCAGTCATGTTAAAGAGAAATATTCTTTGACTGCAAACCACAATAAAATATATTTTACAGTACAATTCAGTACACACAAACATACATACATAATTGAAACAAAAATGTCATTAAATACTTATCCTTGTCATATTGATACAATATTTTCTATTTCAATTTTTTTTTTTTTTTTTTGAGCCGGAGTCTCACTCTGTCGCCCAGGCTGGAGTGCAGTGGTACATTCATGGCCACCGCAGCCTCAACCTGCTGGGCTCAGGCTATCCTTCCTCCTCAGCTTTCCAAATAGCTGGAACTACAGGTACGCACTACCACACCCAGTTTATTTTTCTGATTTATTGTAGAGACAAGGTCTCACCAAGTTGCCCAGGCTGGTCTCGAGCCCCTGAGCTCAGGCAATGCTCTCATCTCGGCCTCCCAAAGTGCTGGGATTATAGGCTTGAGCCACCGCACCCAGTCAATTTTTTAATGCTAGAGGCAACCTTCTAAAATAATATCATGGTCCACTAATGAGTCACAAAACACAATTTGAAACACTATGTAATAATACTTAAATGTCACATTTCATTGCACAGTGCCAAAACATATCTGTTGAATGGAACCAAAACACTTAACATTTCTTCTCCATAATTCTTGAATTAAGGAATCCTTGGGAGGCAGAGGCAAAAGGACTGCCTGAGCCCAGGAGTTTGAGATCAGACTGGGCAACTTAGCAAGACCTTGTCTCTACAATAAAGCAAAAAATTAGCCAGATGTGATGGCGTGTGCCTGTAGTTCCAGCTACTTGGAAGGCTAAGGTGGAAGGATCGCCTGAGCCCAGCAGATCAAGGCTATGGTGGCCATGAGCGTGCCACTGCACTCCAACCTGGGCGACAGAGTGAGACTCTGACTCAAAAAAAGAATTAAGAAATCGTTTTTAATTCTATAACTCAGCATTCACCAGTTACAGTCAAATCATTTATTCAGTGTACTTTCTAAAAAGAAACAATCCTGTGCTAGGGACCAACAAGTAATATCTATTCATAATTATCATTTGTATGGTGAAGTGGCTTCACTTTCCAATTCCTTACTGAAATCAAGGTATCTTTTAAAAGGTTAGTCAACCAGCCTGGGCAACTTGGCAAGACCATCCCTCTACAATAAAAAAGAAAAAAAATTAGCTGGACATGGTGATGCGCACCTGTAGTTTCAGCTACTTAGAAGGCTGAGGTGGAAGGATCACCTGAGCCCTGTGGTGGCCATGAGTGTGCCACTGCACTCCAGCCTGGATGACAGAGTGAGACTCTGACTCAAAAAAAAAAATTTGTCAAGCAAATAAACAAACACATACAACACTACTTCTTCAAAATTAAAAGCAAGTTTAGGTGGAAACTACCAAATGTCCTTTAACAGCAGACTGGATAAACTGTGGTATGTGACAAAGATTCTCTTCTCAAACAAACTCTAGCTAGGCTACTCTGAGCCCTCTTCTCTATTTGAAAACAAACATCGAGAGCACTTCCGGTGTTAGAAGAGCTGGTTGTCTCCTGAGGGGCGGTTTAAGAGAGCAGAGGCTGTGTCCTACAGACTCTGGAACCATGAACACATGTGATTGGAAGATTAACTTTGATGCCCTCTTAAAATTTTCCCACATAACACCCTCGACCCAGCAGCATCTGAAGAAGATCTATGCGAGTGTTGCCCTCTGTATGTTTGCAGCGGCAGCAGGGGCCTATGTCCATGTGGTCACTCACTTCATTCAGGCTGGCTTGCTTTCTACCTTAGGCTCCCTGGGCTTGATGATTTGGCTGATGGCAACACCTCATAACCATGAAACGGAGCAGAAAGGACTGGGACTTCTTCCTGGATTTGCTTTCCTTACAGGAGTTGACCTGGTCCTGTCCTGGAGTTGTGCGTTGCCATCAACCCCAGCATCCTTCCCACTGCCTTCATGGGCACAGCAATGATCTTCACCTGCTTCACCCTGAGTGCATTCTATGCCCAGTGCTGTAGCTACCTCCTTCTGGAAGGTATCTTGATGACAGCCTTAAGCCTGATGCTCTTATCTTCCTTGGGTAACCTTTTCTTTGGATCCATTTGGCTTTTCCAGGCAATCCTGCATTTAGGGCTGGTGGTCATGTGTGGCTTTGTCCTTTTTGATACTCAACTCGTTATTGAAAAGGCTGGAAATGGAGATAGGGATTGTATCTGGCACTGCATTGACCTCTTCTTAGATTTCGTTACCCTCTTCAAAAATGCATAATGATCCTGGCTATGAATGAGAAGGACAAGAAGAAGGAAAAGAAATGAAATGACCACCCAGCCCAATTTGGCTTCCTTTCCCTCTATCCCTCATTTCCTCTTTGCACATATAACAGGTGGTGTGTTCTGTGATAAGAAAAGCATGAGAAAAGCTTTTAAAAAAAGAAAACAAAACAAACATCATTTTAAGTTTTATTAATTTTATTCAGGAAATACGTAGAATGTTATTTGTGGGCAGGGAGCTAAGCAAACTGCAGAGGGTGGGCTCCATTTCCTGCTGGCCCTTACTGCTGACTTGGTGACCTTTTCTGCAGTGGTGACCTTGTCCACAGCCTTGATGATTCCAACGACCACTGTTTGTCTCTTATCCCGCACTGTAAAATGGCCTCAAGGTGG